CCAGTAATATAATAACTTACCTAATAATGTAATACAGTGTCTGATTATGTAAGAATATTTTTACTGATAATTATAATGCCTTATTTCACAGGGAATTTATGTTCATAAGATGTTCACATTGTTCATATGTAATACATTTTTACTTCACTGGGGCCAAGTTATATTTAAGAGTTTTTTTCAAATAGATGATGTAATACTTCTGTCTGATGGTGCTGCATTGTGAAATTTAGTCAATATTTTGCATATTGTGCCATATTTAGTGTTAAACATGGGAAGTGGGGAGATAATACCAACATTGCATATATCTGTATTCAGACCTCAGACTTCTGAAAAGACTTACAGCTGCTTATTCAGTATGTTTTCAGGTATTCGTGTTCAAGTTTCATTCCAAATGTGATGAACACCAGATTTTCACTTTCAGTGGGGCAAAAAACTACATATAGGTAGTAATTATGGCTGAATATTTTACAATAAAACATGTTGTTTAAGCAATTGAAAAGTGTGTCTCTTCACAAAATTCTATATCCAACACAACACTGTGCAGTTAAATTAAACCCCCTTGTGCAAGGGTCTTAGGTAATTCTGAAGTGACTCACATCAGCTTTTTTAGCCAAGAAACTTTGCAGATTGTTAAATTTGAATTATTTAATTGATTTTAAGTTAAAAAGTAAGACTTTGAGATAATGAGGTGACAGTAAAGATATGTTAATAGATCAATAAGACACTAGCCCTGTGTTACCACCCAGAAAATTGAGTTAGACATCAGCTTAGCACAAGTCTGTATACAAATAACCTTTACTGTGTAGATACTGACTTAATGTTTCAACTTAAGTGGCCATCCCTACATCTCCAAAAAGTACAGATGTTAGCCCTCCAGTTTTGGTCCAGTCAAACTTGACCAATCTCCAATCTATGTCATAGATCATAAATATAGTTTCTTTCATCTGACTCATATAAGACTTAATGGCTTTGTACAGACTAGGCCTCTGAATACAACAAATAAATTAGTTTAATTGAAGTTAAAGAAGTTTATACTGGTCATAGGAAATGAATGGGTTAGACTGTAATAAAGATGCAGAATTCAACATTCACACGCACAAACACACCAGCACGCACACGCAGTAGCAAGTCTGACTCCACACTACCATGTATTTTGGGTATCCAGAACATGGTCCAATGCACAGATAACAAACAGCTTCCTTGTGGGTGTGCTCAGGTTTCACCATCAGTTAACCATCAGCTAAACAGCTAGCTTATGGCACGCCAAGTCTGGATGAATCATCAATCAGATTTTTTTTTTTTTACATTTTATCACGAGTCATTTACCTTAATCATCAAGACGCAAGACTTATCTGACATCAATGAGACAGACATGCCTACTACTCCTACTGCTCATTTACAGCCAGGCACAGAATCTATTGTGTATGAACACACTGTTCCTTTTTAAGGGCACTGTCCCGGTGATGCCCCCAGTGTTCCAGACTGGATTGATTTCTTTTCACACCAAAAGCATTGTAGGAGACCTTTAGTAACTGCTCTTGAAAAAATTGTATCAATCATTTAGAAAAATTATCAACCTGGAAATTGTTCAATAATGTAATCATTTATTACTTACGATCAACCTGAAAAAGTAAGACATCCCACTGTCTACTGAAATTACATTATCATTATCATTACATTTTTGACCAAGTAAAGTGAAACATTTTAACACACCACACAAGCATGAACCATGAAAATAACGGTATGACTAGTTTCCTAAAAGGAAACCTCAGCATCACAACATGATAAAAACTTTAATCTTATCATGTCCAATGTTATGGCTTAAACTGAAATTTCCTCCAACTAAAAGTAACAACATGTTTGAAGTATCCCCCAACATGAAACAGTATCAGCAGGTCTCAGCCACAGGAACCCATGCCTAGTAGAATATTCCTTTGATATGCAAACACTGATAACTGCTATCCATTTGTGGATGAAGCTTCTGCAGGTATACAGAGAGAATCTCACAGCAAGAACTCAGATCAGCAGGTTTTAGCCAACACCATTCTTTAAAGCTTATGTGCATGAATCACAGAACTCCACACCATCTCGAAAATCTTGATATGAAAATAAATCAAGCTTTGTGTAGATACTCACTGTATTTATGCATATAGAGGCTACAGAGTATATAGCATGCTTTCTGTGATTAGTAGTGGTCTGTGTTCTTTCCAAGCATCTAAACCTCCCAATTAAATAGGAGACCCAGCAAAAGACATCATTAAACATAGGTCTAGTTTCAAAACTGTAGATTTTACTCTTATATAAGGTGAATTAGCGCAGACACACCCACGGTGTAACATGTAACAGTGCAGGGTAATTTGGTGACTAGGATACAGTAAAGTCAGTCATACACTTAATCTGCCAAGCCTGGCAGGACTTTTCAGTTTACTGTTCAATGGTGCCTCTAAAAATACTGCCTTGACCACACATGGATAACATACACATGAGCAGCAATTCTGGTGGCCAAGCACTATTTAATATACAGTACTGTGCTAAAGTCATAGACTATCCTTTAGTTCTTTTAATGTTCACTCAAAATGGTCATTAAGTACAAGTTCTTCATTTTTCACTGTCAGGAAAAAAAAACACAGCATATATAGAAACACACACACTATCTAAGCCACTTATCCTCATGGGTCGTTGGAGCCTACCCAGCATTTATTGGGCAGAAGGCAGGAAACACCCTGGAAAGGTCACCAGTCCATCACAGGCCAGACATATACATTCACAACTAGGGCAATCTAGCATCTCCAATTGGCCTGACTACATGTCTTTGGACTGTGGGAGGAAACCCACACAGACACAATGAGAACATGCAAACTCCACATAGTGAGGACCCTGGTTGCCCAGCCAGGGAATCGAACCCAGACCCTTCCTACTGTGAAGTGACAGCGCTACCCATTGCACAAGTGTATCTATCCTTTGCCTTTATCCAGCTTCTATTCTTTTCAGGGACTTGCTTTCAGTTTTTCAAAGGAATCAGCAGGGATATTTTTCCATACCTTCAAAGTTCAGTTTTAGAAGTTGGTTGCATTTTCTGCTTCTCATGATCCAAATATTTCCAAACACATTCAATAATGTTGAAGTCTGAACTCTGGGGTGGTCAGTCCATTGTTCTGAACACCATCAGCTTTGTTTTTTGTGACTTCCTTTTCTCAGTAAGGGTTTCTTGACAACTACACATCCTTTCAGACTCACAGTATTGAGCTGTCTTCTCACAGTGGAAGCACAGAACACAGAAATAGCAGTTCATTACACACACACAAGCCTTCCTCCCAAGTCTCTTTCTCATTACTGCATTCCAGTATCCCATATTAGGACCTGATACAGAGTGGTATGGAATTAAGACCATCACCATGAGGTAGTCTACAAAAGGCCGCATTGGTCTGCCATGTCCACACTTGCTGACATGCTGGGGCTCAGGATGGTCTGAGAGTGGATCTGCTGGCAGCTGAAAATAGCCTTTCTGAGCAATGAGACACAGTCAATGTCCTGTGTGCTCCTGCGACCTGTCAGCAGGTGACACTGCCTTTAAAACTCAAGGCAGGAATTACTGTCACTGGCGGGTCACAAAGGCTTTCGAACAACAGCAACACCATAAGCTACTATGCCTGCTGAAAACTTACAAAATTGCAAAAACATGCTCTTGGTTTGTGAGCTCGGGGCTGGTTTTAGAATAGTCTGACAATGGTCAGTAGATGACCTGAACAATTTAAGCCCTTAATTTAGATGTGCACATTCTATGCCTTATTATTAGGTAATTAGAGAACAATGCAGAATGCTTGGTTTATTATTAAGTTACCAGCCTTTCCATAGAGTTCATTATCTTTCTCTCTTTTTCTCTCTCTCTGTGTTCTTGTGAGTTTCCTCTCATGTACAGAGACTGAAACTGAACACATAACTAAACATTTGCAAAGCACTGTGAGAATAAATCCTAATCCTGCTGTAATCACAGCAAACAACCATCAATCCACACTTCAAACGGTTTGCCTGGTGTGACAGATGCAGAGTCCTGTATGATAAAATCATTCAATCTGCTGCCCTGGCAAAGTTAGCTGATTACTCGTTCACCCATCTTTCCTTTTTCTAACTGACAGTCCAGGTCAGCCAACACCTCGAACACAGTGAGGGATGTGAAGGAGTTTGAGTGCAGAGAGAGAGAGAGAGAGGGAGAGCGAGAGAGAGACACCCACTAATCTGTAGTCCTTAATCTTTTTGCTAATGGTTTAACAGACAAATCCCAGGGGGAAACTGCTGGGTTGAATGTGCCTATGATTTGAAGTGGTGTAGCACTCAGGTAGTTAGTATGCTAACTATTATGACACCAATGATGTGTGGGTGTACCACCTACAGTCTCTACCTCTCTCTCTTTCTCTCTCTCTCTCTCTCTCTCTCTCTCTCTCTCTCTCTCTCTCTTTCTCTCAACTGAGAGATTCCTGGTACTTCCCACTGTGCGTTCAGCAGAAAGTAGAAGTAGAAGGATAAGCTGAGTAGGGGGGATCTCCCTGACCACACTGCTGCCGTCACTAAGCCTCTTGAGGCTATCAGAGGCGACAGTGTTTTCTGACCAAAAGTCAGACCCATTTTAAATCTCTTGATAAAGGCATTAGAGGCGCCCCACTGGGACAGTTGGGCAGCGCAGAAAAAGCATCAAGCTTAGAGGAATTATAAGATTACTGAATCAAAGACACCATGCTCTTTTTAGAAAAACAATGCCATGTAGTTGCTGTGCTTTTCCTCTCATCAGACAGAATAGAGTCTGCAGTTAAATTTGATCAGTAGTTGGAAGTGTTCAGAAGTGCTAAAATGTATTATGCAACAAAGGCAAATTCATTCTTTGTAAAGGGGAAAGATGTTAGCAGTATATAGTACACAGTTAGATAATCAAATGAAATTACAGATATACACTAAAACAAAGATCAATTCCATCTAAGGTAAAGGAAAAAGAAGCATAAACTCACCAGTAGTGTGTGGCTGCTAGCAGATCTTTGGTTAGTTGAGCACAAGCTGGAGGGAAGTCACTTTGCTCTGTTCTGACTACAGTCCATCATGGATGAGTGTGTGTGCGCACGCGTGTGTATGAATGTGTGTGTAGATGCGCAGGTACTGTAGGCTGAGGGTTGAGCTAAGGGTTACCACTCTCTGGCAGACTGCCCCCCACACTCACTGATTCTCTCTCTCTCTCTTTCTATCTCTCTCTTGTTTCCCTCTATCTCTACCTCTCTTTCTCTCCTCTCTCTCTCTCCCTTTGACACATACACAACCACTTTCTCTTCTGCTCGTTGATCTTCTCTCTCTCTCTCACTCTCTCTCTCTCTCTCTCTCTCTCTCTCTCTCTATCTATCTATCTCTCTCTCTCTCTCTCTATCTCTCTCCAAGCTCCTCCTGAGCCTGTCAGAGCTGGGCTGCCCAACCATGTGTAAGCCGACTAGTGCCAAACAACAGACACACTGAACCCCCCCCTCGACACACACACACACACACACACACACACACACACACACACACACACACACACTTTGATCAGCTGTCTGTCCCCCTATCAACATGCGCAGGCATCAGCACTGGCACACAATTAGCAAATCACCCTTTCCCAAAATTACCTTCAAAGCAATGGGGCTTGGCATGCAGCCACTTTACTATAGCCTGCATGTTCATAATGAGCCCATACAGAGGGACCTGTGTGCTGTGCTGTGTTTATCCTCCTAATCAAGAGTGTACTGTAGCCCTGAGCAGCATTAATAAAAATACACTATTCTCCAAGGACATATTGCAACTGTAATAAACCAGTCCAATTCCCAATGTTCGTTAAATTATTATTGCCTTATCCTCTGCTAGAGACCTCTTATTGCTCTAAGGGAGCTGACTAACCAAACTGCACAGTAATCATGAAAATGTGTGTTGCATTCACGTTGCACTTCCTGCACAATCTGCTTAATCTGGCGAGAGTTTAATATTCATTTATTGATGGCATACAGTCAACTATCTGATATCTGAAATGCTGTTATTTAAACGGTACATCCAGTGCTTTAGATGTGCAGCCGTTTCCTGTTACTGTAGCTGAACACGTGCCTTTTCTGCACTCTCCTCCCATCATTCATACCACTGTCGGCAGCCTTAGGCAGGTACAAAAGTCTCCATGGCAACGGGCTGAACCCGCGCCGAGTTCTCCGGTCCTAGCTGGCTAAAGATAGGCCCACGCAGCACATGGGCTCCACCAGCTATAGACTGAGAGAACTCCTATTCTACCCAGTTCTCTGCAGTGCTCTATAAAGGCTCACACATGGTGAGTTCTCTTCAAAAACAGATGGAGATGAGACTGAATGCTGATTTGTAGTGACTGTATTGGGGTTTGGATTGATTTGCATATCTGAATATCAGTGAATATAATCTGTTTTAGTAATGTTACAAGGCGAATGTCAAACAGGGCATTTACCTGGAACAACATTCCTGAACCAAGCACTGCTGTTATCAGAGTCATCAAACTGTGCCTCTTAGGTCAGGTTGTTGATCCAGGAACACATCCTGCTTGAAGAAACCATGTTCGTCACTGTCACACCTGCTAAAGTTTATTGGTTGAGTGATAGAGTTACATGTAAAGAGGAGTTTTGAATGGTATGTCATAAGCAGCCAGCAGAATGAGCTCAGAGGGACAGCATGCACAAAGAGGCGGACGCACATGCGCACGCACGCACACTCCCGGCAATTAGAGCAGGGACAGCTTGCAGTCTGAGCGTGCCAGTGTAGGACATTCCTGCAGGCTGTGCCTCGCATGCCACCCTCACCAACCTGCCACATTCCCCGCTGGGTCTCTAATGAACGGAAACGCAGGCAAAAATCTGCCAGCAGAGCCAGGCCCTGGCTCTGAGCTCATCGAGGAATATTCAGCTCTACTGCCCACTCACAGGCTGTCACAGCGAGCATGGCACAGGAATCACCACATATAACAATCAATCAGTCTTTCTAACTTTCCAATTCAACAGGCTCCACAGGCATCAATAGAACTTTCTATTACCAGTTCTACCAAGGCATTTCTTGGAGCTGGTGAGGAAGTGACTGAGGATTTGTCTCAGTTCAGTGATTTGATTGGCAGGTTTGCTGCTTTCTAAGCGTGTGTATTTAAATCTTTTATGGCTCAGACATTTACCCAGTGCTGCACTGTTATGACGCCTTCAAGGACACCGACATGAGCTGACCAAAATAGCTCCAGTAAGCCGTGATCCCCATGAAAGCCCACAGCCTTGCAGAGGAATGTGGCTGAGGTCATGCACATGAAGCTAAATGTGCTCAACTGACCAAATACTCAGATGCTTTTAGGCACTTAAATATTAATATACAGTTGGTGCTACAAAAAAGGCCACTAACTGTCATGTATAGACAGCTTAGGTACTTGGGGATAACATTTGACAAAAATGTATCTTAAATCAGCATATCAACTGAAATCTAATGTGTTAAGAAAGACTGTCAAAACCTCAAAATGCACAAAATTGATTTGTCCATGCTCCAGCCACAAATGTGTTCTTACTTTCAAAAACCCCTTTCAGACTAATTGATTTCTGTTGGAGTTTAGAATCATTACATAATGTTACAGCTGGGTCGTGACAAAAGTATTTGTGGGCATTCTATGGTTCCATCTGCTTCTATAGAATGCTGACAGCAAGCCAAACAAAACTTCTTAAGACAGCACACATAACCTCTAAGCTCATAGGTCTTCCTACATCCAATCTGTTCCATCTTTACACCATGGCCCTTTTCCACATAGCCCACATCATAGCACACAATCCTGAACATTTACTTAAGCCACACTTCACTCTTCTTCTATCTGGCACAGCAACTGCTATGAAAAAAACCTGTTCAAACAGATGTTTTGTCCCATCCCTATAACCATTCCCTACCATCACATCACCTTCCTGTTCACTTAAGCTTCCTGTTGACTGTATAATGCCTATAACCAGGCCTCTGTGTTGTTCTTGTAGTAAATACACAATTACCATTCTTTGAACATGAGTTAGTGGCAAAAGTGAAATTTCACATTTCTACCAATTAATAACATACGAATTCTACCATTATACATTATTTTATACTTGCAAATACTAATTTACTCTTCTATTTACTAAATATAATAAATATAAACATGAACTCATAGTTTGTTAATGTTAATTACTGCAATAAATTGTTAGTTAACACTTTATTGCATAAGTAATTAAAATACATAAACAATGTGTTCATGATTTTTCTTATAATAAATCACATAATTAATGGAATATTTATTAATTGTATAATGTTTAATATATAAAAAATGATAATAAAAATTGTGGGCAGATTATGGCAACAGCATTCAGCAATGGAATCCAGACTGCAAACATCAGTAATAACATAATACACTGCCACTGGACACAGCCACATTCAGGGTCCAGGCACAGAACAGGAATAGACAAAGTGGACTTTTATATTGTAGTGAGGCAAAATATTAAAATAAAGAAATTGTTGCCACATGGCAACAGCATGCAATAAAAGGTTAAGGGAACCTTAATGTAAACCACTGGCCAGTAAGAGTGAAATAGATATTGAGGCAGGGCACCATAGCATTAGAGACAATCTCAGAGAATTATGAAACTGAGGATAAGAGAAAGACAAAAAGAGGGAAGTGAGAGACAGAATGAGTGAAAGGGGGGCAGGAAGAGTGAGTGGTGGGCAATCTCCCACCCAGTCTGTTCTGGGGTCTGTCGTCTCAGCGGAAATGCACAGTACACATGGCGGTGTGACAGCTGAAGACAGCAGCAGCCCCGACCTACAAGGCCAACTCGCACCTCTCTCACTCACTCACTGCCAGGACATGACATCAGCAGCACCAGCTCCACTCCCTTCAACACTTTAGTCTCTTATAGGCTTATTATTCTGTCAGTGATAAAGAACTTTAAAATTCTTTAAAGGGCCTATGTCCTAAATTTCTCTTCTCACTTATAACATTTGTGTGGATTTATGTTCCAAAAACTGTCATAATACATTTTTATATGACTATTTTCTATCCTCTTTAATATCTACATTTAGAATGTAGATATTAGTGTAAATATACACTTTATCTTGTTTCTAATAGGCTGCCCTGTATTTGCATCATTCAAAAAGCAGTGCAGGCCATGCATATATGCAAATGTGTTGTTTTTTGTGACATCACAGCTTGTGCATGTGCATTGTATAAACTGGAGAATGAATGGTATATTTTGAAGCTTTAATAATATTTGCACAAATTGTGATATTTTCACTCATTGAAGTGTTCCTGCACTTAAATATTGCTCTGCCTGCACTTTTTGGTATTTCTAATAAAAGTCATATTAAAGTAAAAAAATGTAAATATTTTCTTGAGAGGTAAAACACAAACACCACACACACAAAGGTTTTTATACAGTGTCATAATGTGGGGTCATACACAGGTCCCACATTGTCTCTGTTACATCAAAAACATGTATTCACATTTTTATGTGTATTTTTCTATATCATTTGTTCACGGCAGCTGCTCTTCGTATTGTGTAAACATTTCATGATGAATAGACCAATAAAAACACTCAAAAACTTTACATTGACTTACATCAAAAGTTAAGTAGGTTTTTGCCTTCTCCTGTGAAGTTAGTGTTTTAGAAGCACATGCTTTTGTTAGGACAGTGATGATATGTGTTATACAAACCGATTTCCAAAAAAGTTGGGATGCTGTGTAAAATGTAAATAAAAACAAAATGCAATGATGTGCAAATAATTTAAACCCTGTATTTCATTGAAAATAGTACAAAGACAACAAATCAAATTTTGAAACTGAGAAATTTTATTGTTTTTTGAAAAATACATGCCCATTTTGAATTTGATGTCAACAATACGTTCCAAAAAAGTTGGGATGGGGGCATGTTTACCACTGCTTTTCATCGCCTCTTCCTTTAACAACACTCTGTAAGAATTTGGGAACTAAGGAGACCAACTAATGTAGTTTTGAAAGTGAAATGTTTTCTCATTTTTGCTTAACATAGGAGTTCAGCTGCTCAACAGTTCGGGGTCTCCTTTGTTGTATTTTTCATTTTATAATGCACCAAACGTTTTTAGTGGTGACAGGTCTGGACTGCATGGGCCAGTTTTGCGCCTGGACTCTTTAAATATGTAGTAATGCTATTGTACAATGGGCAGAATATGTTTTTTGTCTTGCTGAAATAAGCAGGGCCTTCCCTGAAAAAGACATCTGAATGGCAGCATACATTGCCAAAACATGCATATATTGTTCAGCATTAATGGTGCCTTCCCAGATGTGCGCATTGCCCATGCCATGTGCACTAACGCACCCCTATACCATCATGAATACTGGCTTTTGAACTGTGTGCTGATAACAAGCCTTATGGTCTTTAGCCTAGAGGACACAGTTTCCATGATTTCCAGAAAAAAAGAAATTCAAATGTTGACTCGTCAGACTACAGGACACT